TACCTTACTAGTCCAGGTGTATCAGTGTTAGGTGTAATGTTTAATTACCTTACTAGTCCAGGTGTATCAGTGTTAGGTGTAATGTTTAATTACCTTACTAGTCCAGGTGTATCATTGTTAGGTGTAATGTTTAATTACCTTACTAGTCCAGGTGTATCATTGTTAGGTGTAATGTTTAATTACCTTGCTAGTTCAGGTCTATCAGGGTACACTGGATACTGTTCTTTTTGTTTATAAGGTAGGAGACACCAGGTGAGGAAGATATACGTCGCTGTTTTGCTCTGTACCTCTTCTTTATCTTTTTAGACCTTTCATATTTTTCCACTGTTTGACTGTAAAAAGAAAACAAAATATGTACACAATAATGCTTGACTGGCCAGTTGTAAGAATGGATACATTTTGTTATATCCATATCTTGCAATAATGAAAACAAGCATCTCATCATTTCTGGTGAATGAGTCGATGAATTTTATGGTTATTGCAGGTGACTCGAGATTTCATCTGCGAGCTTGCAATTCAAAATTCCCTCATAGAACAAATACACCAGGGATTTTGAAGCATGAAATCAGATTGCACTGTATAGTGATGTGTTTAATGTAATAATTCTTTCATACATATGATACATAATGCTTTTGTAATGGCTGGTATTTCCAGTCTAAAAACAACAGCTAAGCTATTGGTGAAGTAATTCGATTTTCAATCTCATTTAACTAACAAAGTTACAGAGTATTGAGAAATTATATTATCATTTTCAGAAACTACAACACTGACAGGTCAGCAATGGCTCTGCCATGTGCCTGACCTTTACTCCCCCACTCCTGATGTCCTTTTTATTTTAGTAACAGTGACCTTGACTCGACCTTAGGTATTTAAACCCCTTTTGCACACTTACATATCAGTGTATAACCATGTCAAATTTCCAAAAGATTAGTCTTTTGAATTCCGAGATAAGGACTGTACCCCCAATGGTCTATTTTGAGTAACAATGACTTTGACCTTGACCTTTGAAACTATAGTAAGTATCAATCTTTAAATGAAACTAACATGTCAAAACATGTAAAAAGAATTGCAAATAGATGAAAAGATATAAATACACACTGTCTTACCTAAATGAAACATCGGGCCGTGACATACGCAAACACATTTTAAATGGCATTTCACTAAACTCCACATCAGTTTTGAAGTCAATACTGGCCTCCGACTCTGCATACATGTTTATTCCTGCTTTTAGAACCCTAGAGTCCAGCCTCATTGATCCCTCCACCACCAGTGCTCCACTGTATATACAAAATCATCAAAGAAAACAACACTGAAGATTTGTTATTCTTCAACAAGTCTATTGTACATCTGTATTATACCGGATACCATCAAATCTACTTGTGATATTTACCAAATTATTCAACATAAATGATGGGAAACCTTCAGTTGTAGGAATATTTGTTAAAGCTATAATACAAATTTTAATACACAAAACATGATCTATGTGTATGATGAGGGTGTTGGTGGTTGGAGGTCAGACCTGTGTGTGATGAGGGTGTTGATGATTGGAGGTCAGACCTGTGTGTGATGAGGGTTTTGATGGTTGGAGGTCAGACCTGTGTGTGATGAGGGTGTTGATGGATGGAGGTCAGACCTGTGTGTGATGAGGGTGTTGATGATTGGAGGTCAGACCTGTGTGTGATGAGGTTGTTGATGGTTTGAGGTCAGACCTGTGTGTGATGTGGGTGTTGATGGTTGGAGGTCAGACCTGTGTGTGATGAGGGTGTTGATGGTTGGAGGTCAGACCTGTGTGTGATGAGGGTGTTGATGGTTGGAGGTCAGACCTGTGTGTGATGAGGGTGTTGATGGTTGGAGGTCAGATGTGTGTGATGAGGAGATGATTGTCTGGAGTTTAAGCCGTACCTGTTTTTAATCAGTGATTGGGAGGTTTTATACCACAGACTGATACTGACGCTGCCAGACATGTCTATAGAGGCGACACCTAGAACCTCCAGGTCCACCACTAGACCATTTGAGAGATGAAACTTCTGGGCATGATCTTGTAGCAGAAGGTTACCCTGATTATAGAAAGGAAAGGGAGAACATCTGTTAATGAGGTATTTGAAATACTTTTCAGGTCAATGGAATAACAACCTAATATTAAACATGTGTGACCTGCTTTTATAAGAGTCGCGCAGTTGTTCATAAAGCTTACACTGATACCTCAGAGCTAATGTTTGTTTAAGCAATTTACACTACATCACAAAGTACTTATTTGAACTGAAAGTTTGATAACAATCTATCATTATATGATCTTTATAAATTTATAAACACGGTAAACACTGTTGTCTCACCTGTAAGGCTGACACCGGGTCAGAAGGTGCATTCCACACAGCAGACATGAGTTCTCCAGACCCCCTAAAGAATTCCACAGAAGGCAGTAGTACATCCATCAGTGTTAGGGTCATGCCTGCTGTGGCCTCTGCATCCTCTGCTCCTTCTTCAGCATCACCAAGCAGGGCAGCTAGACCCTCAGCATACAGTCCAAACTAAAGACAACAAACAAACAAAAGATTATTCTAGACTCCATAGCCCAAACAAAAGATAACGAAAACAAAGGTATGCCTCCCCGACCCCCATTTCTTTTTAATTTGTTAATCACGGTTCTAATATCACCAATATCTAAACAAAAATCAGTACCTAGCAAAAAGTAATGACTTAAACTTTGATCAAGTGAGTATAAACCTGGGGTGTTATGCAACACACCACACTCCACACATAACAATAACTTTACATTTAACTCCAAACATAACAATAACTTTACATTTAACTCCACTTATAACAATGACTTTACATTTAACTCCACACATAACAATAACTTTATATTTAACGCTACACAGTTCCATAACAATAACTTTCCATTTAATACCACACAGTTCCATAACAATGACTTTACATTTAACGCCACACAGTTCCATAACAATAACTTTACATTTAACTCCGCACAGTTCCATAACAATAACCGTACATTTAACGCCACACATAACAAAAACTTTATATTTAACGGCCCACAGTTCCATAACAATAACTTAACATTTAACGCCACACAGTTCCATAACAATAACTTTACATTTAACTCTGCACAGTTCCATAACAATAACATAACATTTAACGCCACACAGTTCCATAACAATAACTTTACATTTAACTCCGCACAGTTCCATAACAATAACCGTACATTTAACGCCACACATAACAAAAACTTTATATTTAACGGCCCACAGTTCCATAACAATAACTTAACATTTAACGCCACACAGTTCCATAACAATAACTTTACATTTAACTCTGCACAGTTCCATAACAATAACATAACATTTAACGCCACACAGTTCCATAACAATAACTTTACATTTAACTCCACACATAACAATAACTTTACATTTAACTCCGCACAGTTCCATAACAATAACTTTACATTTAACTCCACACATAACAATAACTTTACATTTAACTCCACACATACCAATAACTTTACATTTAACACCACACATAATAACTTTATATTTAACGCCACACAGTTCCATAACAATACCTTTACATTTAACGCCACACAGTTCAATAACAATAACTTAACATTTAACGCCACACAGTTCCATACCAATAATTTTACATTTAACGCCACACAGTTCCATAACAATAACTTTACATTTAACGCTACACAGTTCCATAACAATAACTTTACATTTAACTCTGCACAGTTCCATAACAATAACTTTACATTTAACGCCACACATAACAAAAACTTTACATTTAACTCCACACATACCAAAAACTTTATATTTAACGGCCCACAGTTCCATAACAATAACTTAACATTTAACGCCACACAGTTCCATAACAATAACTTTACATTTAACTCTGCACAGTTCCATAACAATAACTTTACATTTAACGCTACACAGTTCCATAACAATAACTTAACATTTAACGCCACACAGTTCCATAACAATAACTTAACATTTAACTCTGCACAGTTCCATAACAATAACATAACATTTAACGCCACACAGTTCCATAACAATAACTTAACATTTAACTCCACACATAACAATAACTTTACATTTAACTCCGCACAGTTCCAAAACAATAACTTTACATTTAACTCCACACATAACAATAACTTTACATTTAACTCCACACATACCAATAACTTTACATTTAACACCACACATAACAATAACTTTACATTTAACGCTGCACATAACAATAACTTTACATTTAACACTACATATAACAATGACTTTACATTTAACTCCACACATAACAATTACTTTACATTTAACACCACACATAACAATAACTTTATATTTAATGCCACACAGTTCCATAACAATAACTTTACATTTAACGCCACACAGTTCAATAACAATAATTTAACATTTAACGCCACACAGTTCCATAACAATAACATAACATTTAACGCCACACAGTTCAATAACAATAACTTAACATTTAATGCAACACAGTTCCATAACAATAACTTTATATTTAATGCCACACAGATCCATAACAATAACTTTACATTTTACGCCACACAGTTCAATAACAATAATTTAACATTTAACGCCACACAGTTCCACAACAATAACTTAACATTTAATGCCTCATAGTTCCATAACAATAACTTTATATTTAATGCCACACAGATCCATAACAATAACTTTACATTTAACTCCGCACAGTTCCATAACAATAACTTTACATTTAAAGCCACACAGTTCCATAACAATAACTTAACATTTAACGCAACACAGTTCCATAACAATAACTTAACATTTAACGCTGCACCATGACCTTTACATTGGGGATAGTCAAATGTATCATTATGATAATTTGAGACGATCATAAGTTTTGGCTGGAAAAGATGGTAACAGACGCATTAATGAACAGAGAGAATGAAAAAGAAATAAACAAAGTGACAACTGTATCTCATTTTCCTTATTTGGTATGGGGAGATGGAGGGGTTATAACAGCCATATTAATCAGCACACCAAAGACTTACTGTAAGGAGAGGTTGTTTTGTGAATTTGCTTGCCATGTCCACTACCATGGCACTTCTCTTCATCACTCCAGTGCCAGAGTTCTCCTGGTAAAGACCATATGAACTGTTCATCTCTCTTGTTGCTACATCAGATTTGATATCAAACAAACAAAATCAGATAAATATCATTTAGAAATACTTGTGTATTTGAAAACAAATTTTATAAATTGACTGACGACTATTTTGATTAAACAAAGCACAAGTTGGTTAAAACTGAGGAAGGGCAAACTTATGGTATTGCAAAATTCACTAGTGACAATGACATTGAAATAATTGTTAAGTATAAAGGAGCTTGAAGATTTGTCGGTGTTTGCCACCGTTCTCTCTAACTTACTGGCTATGAAGAGTAGCACTTAGATGTCCCAGTCTTACATAAATAAAATAGGTCAATGAATACATATTCTGTTTGTCATAAATTGTATTAGAATAAAACAAAAAATGGAAAGAAAAAAAGTTCCTTCTTTATACTGCAAAGCTGGGATTCTATATTTTCATGATTATACACATAATGAGGAAATTGACTTTATCCTGATTAACATTTAAATATATTGAGAAAGGAGAGCATCACGTTTTTTCGCAACATCACCCCAAATGTCAAGACAGATAATAATTACACCCTGAGGTATATTATTACACAGATCAAATTTCAGAATCATGTATATATATGACCCGCAAATTTGTAAAAAAAATATAAACTAATCGGCTATATTTTATTTGTTACCAGCTTGATATGCATATCTTATATGTAAAACTTACCCATGAGATAACTGCTAAAGGCACTCGATTTTCCTTGTTGGGCAAAAACAACATAATTGTTCAAACTGGGGTCTGACAAGATCTGCTTAAACAATGATCTGTAACAGAGCAAAGGATATTCGATTGATAATTCTTGCATACTAGACTGAGATATCCGCATTTCCGGCGGTGCTGGAAAATTCTATCCTACCCACTGGTCTGGATCACTTACACGCGCAGACTGGCGGGGGAATTATAGTGACCTTTCGGGGTCACGCTATTGTTCCTGACGTCATTTTATGACGTTTTGGGGTCAGTCAGGGTCACTGACATCATCAACAATTGCCATCCGGGCTTCATATGCAAATGAGTAATATGCAGACATTTTACAACTTTACAAAAAGATCAGCTGTTTTACAGGTTTTAGGTTATAAGCAAGAAATAGAATCCATTACTGATGAAAGGTATGGATAAGGTAATTAAAACCCTCGGGATAAAATATTGAGCAAAAGACCCTCAGCAAAGCCTCCGGTCTCCTGCTCAATATTTTGTCCCTTGGGTTTGAATTACCTTATCCATACCTCATATCAGGGATGGATTCTATTAATCAAGGACATGTCTTGTTTTATACCTGCTGGTGGTTACAGCCTAAAATGCTTGTATCTTAGCAATGCAGTTCTGGGCAGAGTCTATTGCCAGTATTCAGATAATTCAATTGGTACTTCACCTATCTAAGAAGTCAGAGATGATGGTTTGAATTTCCCTTACATTTTTCTCATTTTATTTCACTGGGATGACAATTAACTAAATATAATTGTGAGGAGATGAAGCCTCTGATGTAGTTCTCGCTTGCTCTAAGTGGCATAGGAGCCGTTTTATCTCCATATCTAGCAGACACTCTGTTCTTGTTTTTCTAACAGCCACTTGAGAAACAGATTTATTGAAGTGTTTATAACATTTACCTTATATAACTGTCTGTTTCTGACAGATCCACTAGCCTCTTAATGATGTATGTGGAGGTCTCGTGATTCTTCTGATCGCCAACCGCAGACATCATGATGTTCCTGACCTCAGCAATGCTTGGTTTGTTTCTCAGTAGAACATCAGCAGCAGCTATCCTTACACTGCTGTCATAATGCCTGTTGTTTTGGTGGAACATCCGACTCAATGCTGCCTTTTGCTATCAACAGTGTCAGAATTTTTTGTTAAAGTTAAGAACGTATTCATAATGAGGATATATAATTAATTGAATTTGCATGATACAGAAAAACTAACACCTCATTACATGAAATGTTTAATCAAATAGCCATGACAGTATTCATACCAACATTTGTTGATCTTAGTAGATTACCAGGTTAAGTTGAAATAAGATAGGTTTATTTAGTGTTTACTTACATTCTTGGTGAGAGAACCTTCTGAAAATCTCCTGAAGGCCTGTATAGCACTGATGGAAATCATAGGGCTACTGGATGTTTCTGCAGCTTCTATCAAATCAGATCCAAAATCAGTAAGTCCTGAATTCCCCATTGATCTGATGTATCGCAGCTTGCAGTTTTCATCTTTACATGCCCTTAAACCATCTCGTACAGTTTTTGTGTAGTCTGCTATCACCTGTAAAATAAGTAGGTTTTAAATTGTCATGACAACAAACTTTTATTCTGACATATGCTGCAGTTAATCATCAGATCATGATGTTTATTTATCTCAAAACTGCAGATTTCTCCATATTTAGCAGAGATGTAACTCTTGTGTCTTGCACACCACCTCAATGACCTTAATATGTGTACCAAGTTATAAAGTTAAATTGTACAACTAGATATTTTTACTTTGGACAATGACTAAGAGACAGATTGTGGTACACTTCTTATCTTAATTACAAAGGTGAACAACTCCATGTTTTTGGGGTATTTTTGTCGTTGGTTGTTTTTATTGCCAACAAAAAGTTGGAAGACATCTTTAATTATATTTTGCATACTTGCTAAGATATTTCAACATTTCATAGGAAATACATTGACATGGTTTCATTTTTGTTTGTCGATAGATAACACACAAAATTGAACTGCTTCACAACTTTTCTGAAATTAAAACAGATATAAATGATATCCTTGATCATAGACCTGTAGGAGACATTTTTTGTACCTGATTACCACATCTGGATATGTCCTGGCAGTAAGTGTGTACCAGGGCACCCAGGGCCAGTACCACTGTTTCGTGTAATCTCTCACTGGGGAGGGGCTTGACCATCATATCCTACAAGGCAAAGACACACTGTACAGATATATACATATATATTGAGGTGTAGTAAATATATATTGAGAGAAAGGGGTAAAGGTAATCTGTGGCAGGGGAGAGGGCTGGGCCATTAACTTCTACAAGGTAAGGACACTGTACAGATAAATACATGTGCACCCAAATGCTAAGTAGTAAAAATCAAAATACTTGCAGACTACATCCTGCTAGTACTTTTGTCCTTTTTGGGTCTTTTTAGGTGATTTGATTTTGTTCACACTGTGAAATTAAAAGTCAAGAACGATGTACACTGACTTTGGATGTCAAAAATAAAAACGTCATGTAATCAAACTACACATAATACAAATGAGAAACAGAGCATGTTGGGTATGCTCAAATTAATACAATTTTATAGAGTAAACATAAAAAATATCTTATAACAAATAGATAACCTCAAAGTACAACACCAAGTTCATCTTTACATCATCAAATAAAAGGAATTTGCAAATTTATACTTATAAGTGATGCTCAAGACTTCCTACATTGAGGTTGAGTTTCAGAGTTTCAATGAACATGTTCTCCTTTAATTCTCTTTCAACGATACCTGATGTATTCATTTGGTAAATGGGTAAAATTAAAAACTGATCATTTAAACACTCATGAAAATGCTTGTTAACTAATAAATTTCATAATCTGTGAGTTATGGTTTGTTGACGGTAGACTGCCCATAAACATTGAGGTATATATACATATACACCTATGTGCTCAATATTGAGATAAATATGTGGTATATATAAAGAGAGAGAGAGGGGAGAGGCTGAGCCATCAACTTCTACAAAGAAAGGACATTATACAGACATATGACTATAACTCAGCTATTAGCACATACCAAAAAATACTGCAAGACTGCAGTGTCTGGGTGTGTGGTGTATGCCAGGGCTAGAAGCAACCTTTCTTGATACTCTGTGGCACCTTCTGTGGTGAAAGACACCAAATCCATCATGGCATTGTGGGAGTCTGGTGTCTGTGCTGCCACAGCAACATCTATGAGCTGAGGACTGTGAGGGAATACAATATCTATTACACACCAGCTGGAGACTATGGTATGCAGTATATACCTATTTTAAATCTGTGCTCATTAATTTGAGGAAGATGCCTCCAATACTTTCTGAGAAATAGAGATGACAATTTTTTAATCATCAAAATCCAAAATGGCCACCTGGCAGCCAGCTTAAACTTTTGATCAATCCTGAAACTGACCATGCGCAAAGAGATATGAAATTTGAGAAAGATCTATCCAGTACTGCTTGAGAAATAGTGAAAATAAGAACTGTTCAACAACAGGAAATAAGAGAGAAAAAAATCGAAGAGATTTTGAAAAATATTTTTTTCAAGAAACATCAAACACCAATGTTTTTCAAAAGTTTAGACAATAGGCCCAGATGGCCTGTATCGCTCACCTGGATATTTAAGCAATCATGGCAAAATATTCTCCAAATGAGATCCAAGGACCCAGACCCCAAAGCCAATCCTTGTAGCATATCTGTATTAGATTTTTCATGCCAAGCAATTTTGTGTATGGTTATGGGGTGGGGATCTCAACTGTTTCCAAGCTGTGGCCAAGAAAATAGGTCTGTAGGGGTTTGGTCAGACCCCAGGGTCTATTATAATATCATGACTGCATTCGTCTCTTTATGCCCAGCATTTGTATATATAGTTTTGGGGTGGGGATCTCAACCGTTTTAAAGTTATGGCCCAGGGACTATGTCTCCAAGGGTGGGGCCAGACCCTAGGGCCATCCTGGAAGCAAATGTGCATTCTTCTCTTTATACTCAGCAATTGTATATATGGTTAAATGGTGGGGATCTCAACCATTTCCAAGTAATAAACTTTTTTTGGCACCACCCCTTAGCCCGGGGGGGTCAGCCCCACCATTTGTACAATTTTGAATCCCTGCCTCCCATGAATGCTTCCAAACAAATATGATCAATGTCCATGGCATAGTTCTACAGAAGAAGTCGATTATAGCAATATAGCCAAATTGCCTCCTTTTGACCCCGCCGTCAGCCCCACCATTTGTACAATTTTGAATTCTACCACCTAGGGATGCTTCCAGTCAAATATGGTTGATATCCATCTCCTAATTCCAGAGAAGAAGTCGCTTAAAGCAATATAGCAAAGTTGACCCCTTTTTGCCCTGTCCCTAAGCCCCCTAGGGGGTCAGACCCACCATTTGTACAATTTTGAATCCCCACCACCTAGGGATGCTTCCAGTAAAATTTAGTTAAATTCCAATCAGCGGTTAAGAAGATGAAGTCGTTAATGAAATTGTTGACGGACGACGGATGGACAGACAGACAACGGACGCCACGGTATGGCATAAGCTATAGATAATTCACAAAATGAATACACTTGATCTTACACAATGTAGTAGCTATCACTGCTGGTGAGCACCTCCTCAATAGTGTTCTTCCCAGTCCCTCTGAAGGACCGCAGTAACCTCAGAAAAGCTCTGCCAGATTCAGCTGTAGAAAGTTTATCACTGCTTAATGAGTCTTTAACTTTTCCTAAGACATCAATGGGCTAAAAAAAACAAAAAAAACCAAAAAAAATCAACATAATACTAGCTCTTTTGCAAATGACATTAATGGCCATTTGTTTAGAAGATTTTTTAGAGCTCTTAAAGTTGGAATGAATTCCTCATTTCTAAAAAGCTACTTTTTCTTGAAAATACAGAATACAATTTATACATATGGTCTATATATTTGATTCTAATACAATGGAATCTCATCTCATCTCTGTCTAATTTTAAACTAACTATTTCTGTCTCATTAATGTAAAATGAAAATAAGAAATAAATAAAGAGAAACATTATTCTGACTTAATATGGAAGTGTCTTGGCAAAAAGTGTCCAGTGTACTGTAAATGTTTTTTGTGAGGTGATGATTATAGACAGAGTATTAGTGTAATTGTAGCTTGGTGCTTCATCACCAACATAGACATGATTTCATGGTGACCTGTTGATTGACATATCTCCATAATTATTCACTTACTTTTTCACAATTTTCAATGCAGTGTTGTATTTCTGAGCCACTGCCAATCAACATGGGGCCGAGTTTGTATCCTTTAGCTTCAAAATAAAACATGAATTTGTCAGTGCAAAGTGATTGTAACTCTCAAACTTCAGGAATCATTACATTTGGTCTGTAACTTGCCAAGGCACCCATGGGTTCTTCAGCAATGTACTATCCTGTCATAAGAACCAACGTCTAGTATATGTGTCAACTCTTTACTAGATCTTTATCCCAACTTGAATTCCTGATGTGACAACAGGATTTTTTTTATATTTACTTAGAACTATATTCTACGATAACTATATTTTTATTTTTGTTTTGTATACGATCTGCGGTTAACTTTTAAAATCCTTGCCCACACAGTTTTGTAATCTATATGTTATGTTTTGTTATCATATGTATAATACATATATCAATATGGTCCTTTCAATATTAAAATCTGTTGTATTGTTTTGTTTTCAACTGGAGAACTTGTCTGTGTTACCTTGATTGATGTTTTCGACCGCCTCTTCTACTGTGCTTGCAGTCACTGTTTTTGATCCTCCAATACTACTCAACAGATTCAGCTTTTGCCTGTGGTCAAAAAGGTATACAGAACAATGTCATTCAATTAGCATACAGGTATTTCAATAGTAAATGTTTTGAATGAAATCCTTATTGGTTTATTGAATAATTTGAGGTAAAAGTTTTTCCAATTCCTAATACCTAAGAATAAGTTAAAACAACATATCTTCCAAACAAAGATATTTTTCTGATTCATTGCATTAAACAGTGAAAATATAATATGATAATTTGTATTTTATTCACATAAAATAATAATGTTTTTGGACAATATATTGGAAATGGCATCCTCTAATTGAATCCTTTTTCAGATTTTATAGCTTTAGTACAAGAGACTTACGTGGAGGTAACAACAGTAGAAACACCTGGTTTGGCGTTGAGAACCACAATGTGTCTCTCCATGCCTGACACACTGCCTATAACACCATCCCCAGTTTGATACTTAGCAATCGACGTTGATGTAACAGTCACACCAAACATCTGAGTAAACAGAAAAACTGATGATGAACAATTTAAGTGAATTTCATCTGCAATAATGTTTAGATTGCACAATGACGTTATTTCAAAACATACTAACCTTACTGAATTATTTCACACACTAGTTTATTGTAACAGACTTTTTTACTTCTAAAATATTTTGCCTCCTGAGACATAAATCAACGATACTTAAATATTTGCTTTCCATGTGTTTGTGTTTTAATTTTCTCTGTAAACCTTGTTGATATTGAAGGTAAACTAACCTTGTTGGGATTACTGAACTGACCAGCTATTTCCAGATTTTTACAATTCTGTTTGGTCTTGGTGACAGAATTCCCAGACACCATATAAGTGGTGTCACATTCCCCCGATACATCAATCTGTACAAAACAAATTCAAGCCAAAGTCAGATAATGTTATTTCTATAACTAATCAGCATTAGATAAATTTGCTAAATTCTGTTTTAGGGATTATCCAGTTTTATAAAAAAATATTGCTTTTATTACAGAAAATAAATACCGGTACCAGGTATGTTAAAATTGGTTGGAAGATATGTAATATATTTCAGATCATTTTCTCAAACAATTTTGATAGTTTTTATACTGAATGCAATAATAACTCGAATAGAAATGAACAAAATTGATCCATGGGGTATCGGCTTATTGTACCCCATATCTGAAACTGCATCCAAATGGATGTCTGTTCTGAATGCAAAAAGGAACACACAAAAATAATGAAGACTTTCAAACACTTAAACAGATTTTTTTTGAAACAGTAATTAAGCTAGATATCAAAGTTATTGTCATAAGATACAAGGTTAAATAGGGCATGGACCAGAAAGAAGCAATTTTTGTCTTTACTTAAGCTTAGCCTAAACCAAAATTAGAGTTTTGAAACAATAACTATGTAATTTTACTAAAGATACATACTTGCTTTAAATTTAATTCCAAACACTGTAAAAAAAACAACAACACACAAATAATTTCATTTGAATTTCTAAATTAACTTTGAGAAAATAATGCTTGTAAAGCTGTATATGGTCTTACCTCCTGTCTCTCCCCATCTGAATCTCTTAGCTGGAACAAGGATATCACACCTTTTTTCAGATTAGAACAGAAAGTAGAGTCAGAATCAGCACCGTAAATAGTTCCTACAACACCAGACCCTCCATTCAGTTCAAAGTAGACAGGATACTTCAGAAGTACCATCAAGTTCCTCTCCAGTCCTGATCTCGATGCACTGGATACTGATGCCTTCGTTATCTTTAAATATACAATATATATATTGTAGATATGTGGCTTTTAACAAAACATATATCTAGTAAAAATACCAGCATTGATGAATGGTCTGGGTATAATTCCATTATATCAGAAATTAGGTTAGTGCATTTGAGTTTTTTAAATATTTTGAAATATAGGTGGGGATTATAGAATTTTCTTCAAAATCTGTCTGTTGGCAAGTACTAAACAAGAGGCCCAGAGGGCCTGTATCACTCACCTGTTTTTTTTGTTATATGAAACTGACATGTAGGTAACTTAAGACCAAATTTGGTAACTAGAACACAAGACATTTTAACATCTCTTCAAAAGTTCTGAAGATACTGTTGTTTGAAATTTTAATTTTGAAGCTTTTAACCCACATTGACCTTTGACTCCCGACTTGCACTTAAAGTTGACCTTTGACCTCTTTACTGTAATAAAGTAAACAATTCACACAGCTGGTCTTCATAACATACCCAAGTATCATGACTCTAGTTCAAATGGTTCTTAGGATATTGTTGTTTGAAGTATTTAACATACTTGACCCCTGTGACCTTGAAAATAAATCAAGGTAATTTTAATGAGGCAACTTTATAGCATTTCATCCCAGGTACCTACTGGCCAAATATCATTACCCTCGGCCATATGGAACGTGAAGAAGATTGTTAAAGCTTTTAACCCATGTTGACATTTGACCCCTGACTAGCATTTAAGGTTGACCTTTGACCTCATCATTGTTATTGAGAAAAATATTCGCACTTCTGACCTACATAACATACTCAAGTATCATGACTCTAGTCCAAATGGTTCTTGGAATATATTTGTTTGAAATTTTTAACATATTTGACCCCAGTGACCCTGAAAATAGATCAAGATCATTTTAATGAGGAATCTTTATAGCACTCCATCTTAGGTACCTACTGGCCAAATATTATGACCCTAGGTCCTCCAGTTCTTCAGTTCGGGCCAGGTGAGCTAAAAACTAAAATTGCATGCTCCTAAATTTATTTTTAATTCAAATGATAGAGTTTTCGAGAAGAAAATGAATCACTGGTAAATATAACAATACCTGAAGTCTTAGGAGCTGGGTTTCACTGGCATGAAATACAGGAGTGACTTCTAGCTCTGCAGTCAACCGGAACCCTACATCTTTCTGGGTCTGTTTCACTTTCGGGGTATTTAATTCATTGAAGTAGATGGTTGTTTCATATGAGTACTTGTAAGTCTTTCCATTCTCAAGTGATAAGGAAATACCTGTAAAGACATGTTTAAAATGCACATAATGTTGATACTATTTCAGAGAGAAAGTGTTTCAATATGTAAAACAGTTCACATCACTTAAAATTATATGGGCTTTTCACAAATTTTGTGAATCGACCTGAAGTTCTTGCTTTCCAAGATATATATTTTAGACACACTATTTTCTTGGCTATACAAGTTGTTATCATGGCTTTGCTAAAATTTTGAGGTTTTTTTTAAAATTCCAAGATGACCATCATGGCATTAGATTCCCCCCCCCCCCCCCCCCCCCAAGATACAAGTTTATGGAACTTCATCCTTCATGAAAGGGATATCTACTGCATATGATTAGTATACACTCTTGTTTGAAATACAATATTGAATCGCACATCAGTGTTTTAGCATATCTGTGTTTACCAGAAGATAGTGTTGGGAATCGGTTTGAAATTTTATGATCGATCATTGGTTACCATTAACCAACCAATGTCATGATCGATTAATAATCCTTTTATAGAAAAAACAGTGAAATCCTCCATTCTGTTGTTGCAAGTCACTTAGGCAAATAAAAAAGTGATACCATGTAATTATAATATACGAAATACATCTCTCTTCAAACACTGAATCTGTAATATATAGTCCTAACTAGCAGCTATGAAGTAAAAGTAAGTCATGCAGTGATGATGCCATCAATTTGACACAGTAACTGGGAAAAATGTCTACTGAATACTCCATAATATCTACATATTAGCATTCCGACTAAAATTGATCATGGATTTTGTACTCGATTAATTAGTTTGTTAGCCTAACTGACAGCTGTTCGACTTAGTCGATTAATCAGAACACCACTACCAGAAGCCCCCCTATCATTTGACATGCTTATCTAAACTCCAGTTGAATAAAAATATACACGTGTTATAAATTTCCAGTAAGTTCATTCAAAATAGTAGTGTTAATATTTTGTCAATGCCCCAATGTCCAATTTTCTGTTTTTACTATCAAACTTTGCCAGTATGTCTACCAAAATAAAATGTTTGTTTCCTCATAGCTGTAATACAATTGCTAATAGTTTGCACCCTGTAACAATACATACACAGTTATAAATATGTTTCTCTTAAGTCTATAGGGACACTGTAAAATACAGTATTATTATAAGCCAAGTATTCCTACAGAATCACATTGTACTGTTATAATCCTTAGTTATGGGTTATGTCTGTTTATTGCTATTCTGAAGACATAAAATAAAACCCACAAATCTCAAGTATAATGGATTGGGATGTACAAGTTGTTTGGATGGTGTAAATGAGGTGAACTCCACGTCATCCGGCCTCCCCACATGCTGCTGCACACCAGCCTCAGTTCCCTTATTCCCATCAGTTGGCCTGAATATGATAGAAAAGTAGGAATAAACAACAAACACTTACTTTGATTAGTCAACAGTGCCAGTAACAAGAGAAGTTTTACATCAACTGTTCCCCACATAGTCATCATACTAGTGAGTTTATGATACTAAAAGCCCTCTACACTCTGGGAAAATTTAACCGGCAAGACTGTATGACCCCAAAGTCCACACATTCCGAGAGCAAAGTTCAAAATATACTACACAGTTGTCATTATATCACTGGTTAGCTCATTGATGGAGGGTTGTTCATCTAATGCCACGTATAATCCGACTCGTCAACCCTTATCAAGGTTTACACCCCTTTTTGTTTTGACAAGAGATAATGGCTGGACATAGATAGGGCTATCTGACTTAGTGGTGATCCAGCATGCTGGGCACTTGTGTATGGATGTTGATATGCCGAAGTGGGTACAAAACTTTACAGAGATAATTAAGTCTAACGCTTATTGCATTGTGTCTACTGTACAGTATAGCTTACTTCACCGGACCTTCTTGGCATAGAAGATTACCTCTAACGAAACAATTGTTTGAGAAAAGATAACACTCGACCAGATAAGCAGTCTTGGCCAAATGGACGTTTTACAAACAATAAAGACATGAAACTTTACCGCTCCAGCTTCTGTCTCAAAGCAGACGAATTTCTTTCGTGTTAAGTCACGCGAGATCTCGCGTTAATCAATATGTCAGCGCCCATATATCAGAAACGTGAACAGCAGCTCAAATCGTTTTGAAAATATCCTAAGAGTTATATCGATTAACAAAGTTATACTTGTACTTTAATATCACACATAATTGGTATTTTGTTTTCTAAAGTAATGGATTTGAAAAAGGAAGCCAGCGAAGGAGATGGATCTTGTAAATGCGAATCCGTAACAAACGCTGACGCTGTCAACAGTACGGACGTTGCCGGTAGCTCGACAGCTGTGTCTTCAAGTAATACAGGTACTACAGACGGAAGTACCGAGGAGAAACCGACCGAAGTCCAAAACCTGTCGAAAAGGCAGTTGCGTAAACTAAAAAAGCATGAGAATTGGTTGAAATATAAGCCCATCAAAAGGTACAGTTCGACTACTCGTCTGCTCATATATGGTTCCATTACAGGTTCAATTCAAGATACCTTATGTTATTGTTTCCGAAAGGATTAGACAACAGGCTAAAGCCTATATAAGTCTTCTCCCATTCCGGTTACTGGCTAGAAATAGCCTCTCACTTGAGTGGATCATGCTAAGTACAACAGCTCAAATGGGTAATAATCATGCATTTTGGGAACAGTTACCCATTTGAGTAACAATTGTATTACTCAAATGGGGAATCACGTGAAGTAAAAAAGCACCCATATAAGCCGTTGTGCCCAACCTGCTAAAGTCAGACAAAAAGGTCCTCTCAAATTGGTCACATTTGGGTACACCTGTATTTAAAAAAACAACTTATCACAGCAATAGTAACAGGCAAATTTAGTGCACTTATTGTTCTGTGGCAGCTAGAGGGGTTTTCCTTTAGCTCAGTGGTAGAGCATCAGTCTAGGAAGTCTGCGATTCTGGGTTCGATACCTGGTGGAAGCATACTACTCACTTTCCTATTACAAATAATGTCCAAACCCTGGCCTTCCTGTGCTTGCAGGAGTTATAACCTGGGTTGAGTACATGTAGTGTTGCAGATAACAATTGTACATAGGATTACGGCTGCCGTTAGCTTCACGGTAGAGGGAATATCCCTACAGATCAGTGGCTGATAACAAGTCATGCAATTTCTTTTACACCAAAATGGTTAAATTATAACATACATTAAATCTGTTGGTTAGTATTTCTGTAACAGCGCAGATTGAGATTTGAACCTGGGACCGTTCAAACCCTAGACAGATGCTCTACCAACTGACTGAGCTGCCCAGTCACCAGTGAACAACCCTGTCCAGTTCCACGACATTTCATTGACCCATGTCATGGGCTTGCAGTTCATTGTATCAGTTTTTCAAAAATACAATGATTTTACATATTTTCTCAAAGTAATGAAATACACTTTCTGAGCTTTAGATTCATATGAAACTTGGTTATTTATTAAAAACATCAAAGACGAATTGTAATGATTAATTAAAACCTATTGAACATTTTACAAACCATTTTCTCAACCATGGCTATTACTTATCTTGCACTGTTTCGGTATTGATTTAAAGAGCCAAAGATAAAGAGAAGAAGAAACAAAGACGCAGAGATGCAAAAGAGAAAGGAGAGGAGCCTGCCCCAAGTCGGAAAAGGCTAAAGCTTAATACCATGGCCAAGTCCGACTGCCGTGTGTCTGTGGCTATTGATTGCTCCTTTGACAGCTACATGCAGGAGAGGGTATGCAATAGTATAGGGTTTCACCTGATGGAATTCAACGTCTTTAATACAACAACCATTTGCACAAGAAATTATTCTTCCATAACTGTATCTTACCATGTAAACATTTGTATTTACAATTTTAATGATTCTGTTTATCATTTGAGTTTTTGAAAAAAATCAAATGAAGGAAATTTCTTCAGGAAAAAGAAGAAGTAAATGATGTTTACAAACAACAAAGAATTCAGCTTAGAATGATACCTATTTTATCCTGAAGCTAGTACCTGAAGTGTACATTTTTGGAATCCTCTACCACTGTGAGGGTTAGACAACCTCATAGAGTTTTCTCTGTCACACTTTCACCATAGGGCTTGATTTTTTTTTTATCTCCCATCCTTGCAAATAATTTTTAAGTTTTGTAATTTATTTCATAATGTTTTGCACATGACCTCTCCTATCATGAGTTGTGAGGAGGATATTAAATATGAATTGGTGGTAGGTAGTCAAAATTATTAATTTGGCATTTCTTACATACTTGAATTCCCTGTATTGAGCGTGTTTCTTAGTATAATAGTACTTTTATAAGTTTGTTCCAAAAAATTGAGTCGACATTAGGGTAGGTTCTGAAATCGAAAACATAGTCTTTTTAATGTTGGTGATGTAATAGTGATGATTATGTTGACAGGACATTCTAAAATTGGGAAAACAGATCCGATGGTGCTATTCTACCAACAGGAGGGCAGCCAATCCTGTTCAACTTCATGTGTGTGGTATCCATGGCCAGATTAAGACTCGACTGGATGGCGTTGGTGACTACATAAATTGGGATGTAAGTACCCAGATAGTATAAAATCATTTAGTCAGAAAACATTCTGAAAAAAGACAAATACAGCCATGATTAAATAATCTTAAAAGAATTCAGGAATTAGCTTGTGGATAAACAAATCAATATTTACCTACCAAGAAAGCATCTACTGGATATATCATCCAAAATTCTTGAATAATTTTTTAAGCTCACATGAACCATTGCTATCTCTTCTAGTCCATCATTCATCGTCTCAACTTCCACTTGGTACATTTCAACAAAACATTTTTACAAAAAAAATCCTATTGTGTCTCCTACCAAGTGTTGTTAATTTTGTGTCTCTTTAGGCTTATTTTTTCTGAAGTTTCTAACTGTAGATTTTATTCTAGTTTTCACTTTACAAACTTAGCAGTACATTGTTATGATGAAGTTAATAAGAATTTAGGACTGTATTTGACCTTATAATAAGCACTGTCTCTCTTTTTTCTAGTCAGAAGGTCACATCCTTTCACCATAACTCAGTGACTTTTTTCTGTCTGTTACGTCTCTTAGTTTAAATTAATTTCCCAAATTGCTTAGTGCCTAATATACTTATTACCGTAGTTCAAATATGATAATAAAATATCTTACTGCATTTCTCAACAATTAAATTGCTTCATGCGGAAATAATTCACAGAAAAATATTTAAAGGCATGTTGTTTAAATTTTTAAGATAATGATTATTTGGTTTATCAGATTAATAGCTCAGAGAAGGGTTACGAGGAACTATTTGACATAGACTCAATGGTGTATCTGTCAAGTGATTCTCCCAATATCCTCACTGACCTTGAACCTGATAAAGTCTACATCATTGGTGGACTTGTGGACCATAATCACCACAAGGTAAGCATCAGGTACCTTTATGAATAAATATATTACCTTAACTGGCTAAATATATTTATACAGATTATTTCACCCTAACTTGCTATAGTTACCTGTACAGACTATTTCACCCTAACTGGCTATAGTTACATGTACAGATTATTTCACCCTAACTTGCTATAGTTACATGTACGGATAAATTATTTCACCCTAACTGGCTATAGTTACCTGTACAGATTATTTCACCCTAACTGGCTATAGTTACATGTATAGATACATTATTTCACCCTAACAGTCTATAGTTACCTGTACAGATTATTTCACCCTAACTGGCTATAGTTACCTGTACAGATTATTTCACCCTAACTGGCTATAGTTACATGTACAGATAAAATATTTCACCCTAACAGTCTAAGGTTACCTGTACAGATTAGTTCACCCTAACTGGCTATAGTTACAATCACAGATTATTTCACCCTAACTGGCTATAGTTACCTGTACAGATTATTTCACCCTAACTTGCTATAGTTACATGTACAGATAAACTATTTCACCCTAACTGGCTATAGTTATATGTACAGATTATTTCACCCTAACTGGCTATAGTTACATGAACAGATAGATTATTTCACCCTAACTTGCTATAGTTACCTGTAAATTATTTCACCCTAACTGGCTATAGTTACCTGTACAGATTATTTCACCCTAACTTGCTATCGTTACATGTACAGATAGATTATTTCACCCTAACTGTCTAAAGTTACCTGTACAGATTATTTCACCCTAACTATCTATAGTTCCCTGTATAGATTATTTCACCCTAACTTGCTATAGTTACCTGTACAGACTATTTCACCCTTACTTGCTATAGTTACCTGTACAGATTATTTCACCCTAACTTGCTATAGTTATATGTACAGATTATTTCACCCTAACTGGCTATAGTTATATGTACAGATTATTTCACCCTAACTTGCTATAGTTACCTGTACAGATTATTTCACCCTAACTTGCTATAGTTACCTGTACAGATTATTTCATCCTAACTGTCGAAAATTACCTGTACAGATTATTTCACCCTAACTTGCTATAGTTACCTGTACAGATTATTTCACCCTAACTTGCTATAGTTACCTGTACAGATTAATTCATCCTAACTGTCTATAGTTACCTGTACAGATTATTTCATCCTAACTGTCTATAGTTACCAGTACAGATAGATTATCTCACCTATGATACCTGCTTTAAACTCGCTATGGTAAACATGTTTATGTATACCAGTACTTAAACTCACCCTGATGAATTTAACAAACTATACTAGGAAAAAGTAGACTTCTCGAACTGATGACCTCTTCGGACAGTCAAGCTATCATTTTCAAAGTTTTTGTTAATGACTACAAACACATACTTGTTTTCATGTCTCATTATACAAATGTGTTGTTATTTCCCTTGGGTTTTTTTCAGGGCCTTTGCCACCAGGTGGCAGTAGAAAAAGGTTTGGCGCATGCACAGCTTCCAATATCAGAATACATACAGCTCAAGTCACGCAAAGTACTCACAATCAACCATGGTAAGCAGTTCTGATGGATTGTATAAAACTTTCATTTTCTTAATATAAAATTGTATGTAAACAGTGTTGAAAAAGTTACATGTAAAACAGCTATTATCATGCTGGCCACATTTCAGTTATGTATGTACATCATATATAATATTATAAGGTACAGCAAAAAATACTACCAACCATACAAAAACCTCAGCCCTTACTTCTCATTAAGCCTGATACAATGAATAAGAGAAGAACACCAACTTCTGAAGTCTAATTTCCATAAAGTACATCCGTATTCTGTGCTGGTCGGTTAGGGTAGGGGTATTAAGATGCTGTTTTGAGTTAGGGTTTGGAAGTACAGATGTATTGTGTAATCAGGAATTACCATTCTTATAGTTATTATTGTGTACAAATGTTAAAATTTAATCTTGGGTATGACATTTTGTGTTTATCCGTACATCTTAAATATTCCTTCATTTTTCAGTATTTGAAATTCTGCTGAGTTATACAGAAACAAAAGACTGGCAAAAAGCGTTCTACACAGTGTTACCACAGAGGAAGGGAGTCCAGCTTAAGGATTTATCTGGTCGTAGGGAGATGGAGTCAGTGAGCAAGCTCTCTAGTGATGAGGAGCCAGTGAGCAAACTCTCTAGTGATGAGGAGTCAGTGAGCAAACTCTCTAGTGATGAGGAGGAATCAGATAGAGAACTTTCTAATGATAACCAAATAATTAACAGCTGTGATAATGTAGGTTCACAAGGTCACACAGACTCTGCTGAAGGTCATGACAGAAAAGAAAGTTTTGAAAAGGATTGTGATCACATAGCAGTTTGTGATTCTAAACAACTTGATGAAACACTTTGAAAAGAAGAAAATATTTAAGCAGTAATGATTGCGTGAATTTGAATACAGCATTGGATGAAGGAAGATTGTTTTGCTTTATACTGAATAATAATAATAATGAAACCTCACACATAAACACTTTGCTGGTTGTCCTACATAAATCTTTCTAAAATCCATATTTACCCATCTGGAAAATAGTTTAGAACTGTACACTACAGCATATTATATTAAACATCCGTATCTGAAAACAAAATCTGCAACTTTTGATAAAATGAATATAAAGTACCATTATGATTGGTTAATGCCAAAAGTAATATCTTCACACTGTTATAAATATTGCCTTTGATATCTGTTATGATGTGAAGGATGTCAGGTTTTTTTCAAGTTGATAAATTGCCAGAAATGTAATAAAACCTGTTTCACTCATATTGAAGTAGACTTGTTCTTCATCCATACTTAGAAATTCCATGGCCCTAGTACAGCTTATAACACATCAATAGAGGATTTTTAACTGTCACCATACAATTAAAATGTCTTCTTTGCCATTCTTTTCTCCAGTTACCCTCTTTTTTCTTTTTTTTTATCTCAAACAAGAAAAGCATGATACAGATATAATTATCATTAAAAAAAATACCAGTATTCATTGAAAAATTAAATCAAATGGAACTGATATATGATACCTGTACCGTTTCAGACAATCAGTTTGACTTTTTTATATAGAATTACCGGAATAATTTTTACACCTTCACATTACTGTATTGAACACTGGAATGGATGTTTTTGAAAGTTCTAAAGCCTGGTGAAAGTGTCTCAAAATTAACAAAAGTACCGCGGGGCGGAACAATATACGCTCCTCGAATGCCATACAGTGTTATATACTTTCTTACATTGAAATAAGATCTGCATCATTCTAAGAGTGGTTAGCTGACATGCTATAAAAAATGTAGGAGAAAATCTGCGGACAAAAAATCAAATACTGAAATGAACAAAGGGCAATAACTTTTGCAAAAAAATTGTTGAATCAAAATTCTTTTAAGGAAACACAAATTCATATCATGATTATAATGTATACCAAGTTTCAAAGAGATCGGTCGACAAATGTAGGAGGAGATTGACGGACATACAAAAGTTTATGCTGGACGGACAACCCCATAACATAATACAAATTTGACGTGCGTTTCAAAATGGATGGCCAAAATGCCTAGTTGTTGTGTTTCTAAGATGAAATAAAGATAAGAATCATAATAATAGCTATGTATCAAAGGATGATCTCTTAATGTACCTGGGGTAGTTCTGTACGAATAATGGATTTTTTTAGTAAATTTGTCTGGAGCTTTGTTGGGAAAATGGACTCACTGTTGTATAAATGGAGGGTTTGGTTGCAGAGGGGCAGGTCTACATAGGAGAAATAGATGTACACCTTTAGAATACTTCTCCTTTAATATGGATGACTTCAACTTAACCAAATTGAATCCTTTGGCCAAGGAATCTCAATGTTGGGAAAATTAGGTCATAACTTGAAAACAGTCCAAGATCCACGCCCTTCAACCTTATATACAATTGCTGGACATGAATGCACTCATGCTTAAGGGATCATGCCAGCCCCAGGACTAAATTCTTAGCTCTTAACCTGAGAGAAGTTGATGTCCACATCCTATAGCCATAAACAAGATTTACGGGTATGAAGAAACTAATGCATTCATGCGAAAAGTTATTGGCCCTGGGGTCCATCTCTGCCCCTGGAGATTCAGTTACTGAATCATAACTTTGAATGAGATCCCCAGAAAACTAACCATATATACATTCCTTGGCATGTAGAGGTAAACACAATCATGCTACAAAAATTAGCCAAGGGGACTGACCCTGCCATTAGTTCCAGGCCCATAACATACCAGTAGAAATGGTGGAGATCCACGCACTATAACCAAATGCGTGTATACGCTTGCTGGTCATGCAGAGCAGAACACAATCATGCTACCATAGTTGAACGATTGGTCTGGCCCTGTCTAGGAGAATCGGTCCCTGGGTCATAAAAAGCAAACTAAAACCATATACACTTATAACAGATCTATACAATTTCTCCTAAACACATCTTTGATCCCTCTGATTTAGGATGAGTTGTTTTGTTTATATGCAAAATGTAGCTCCCTTGAGGGCTTGGCACAAAACAGGGTAATTTTTTGGTAATGAAGTGTTTAAAAGCATATATGTCTCCTAAACTGTTGATCATATATATAAAAAACAGCCAAATTCTGTAAAAGCCATTTTGGGACCAGGGAATCAAATGTTGTATAGAGGGTGTTGCTCTTACATATGCTGACACAGAAAAAAATGCAAATATTTACAGTATTATATTTAATGAGAAATATTTTATATGCTTGGTTAAATATCTGGCAGGCCCCCTGTGCATCTTTTCTATGGTAGATATTTGATGTATGGTTAGGTGCATAGCTAGATTGTAAATGATGAGCATGCATATTGTATCATCTGCCATTGTTCCATTCTCAGATAATAAAAAAAAAAAAAGCTATATGGTGGATTGGTAGCTTTTGCAGGCAATCTTTGATCTTTGTTAATTTGAGAGTTTTTCAGACTGATATTTCAAAATATAATTTTACTATAAAAACTTGTACCCTAGATTCTGAATATGTGATACTGAAACCAAGAGGGGGGTTGTGAAAATAAATAGATGGTTTATTAAATGGATAAAAATAGTCAAATTGATTCTTTAAACTGTATAAACATTCAATCACCATTTCAGACTGCACCTAACAAATAGAAATTAAATATTACACTTAATGCAACTGCTTATGATGTATTGTTGGTGTTTTAGACAGGTGTTTGATATATGGCAGTCATTATGGCAAGGTGTATAATGTACAGTGGTAATTATGGACATATGTGATGTTTTCAGTCATTAAAGACAGGTATTTGATGTATGTTGGCCGTTGTAGACAGATATTTGATGTATGGTGGTCATTATGGATGGATATTTAATGTATGTTGGCCATTATAGACAGGTATTTGATGTATGGTGGTCATTAAGGATGGTAATTTTAAGTATGTTGGCTGTTTAAGACAGGTATTTGATGTATGTTGGCTGTTATAGACAGGTATTTGATGTATGGTGGTCATTATGGATAGATATTTGATGTATGGTGGCCTTTATGGACAGGTATTTGATGTATAGTGGCCATTATAGACAGGTATTTGATGTATAGTGGTCATTATAGACAAGTATTTGATGTATATTGACTGTTATAAAGATATTTGATGTATGGTGGTCATTGTAGACAAGTGTTTGATGTATGGTGGTCATTATTAGCAAGTATTTGATGTATGTTGGCTGTTATAAAGATATTTGATGTATGGTGGTCACTATAAACTAGTATTTGATGTATGGATGTCATTATGGATAGGTATTTTATGTGTAGTGGCCATTATTGATAGGTATTTGATGTATGGTGGTCATTATGGATAGATATTTGCTGTTGGCCGTTATAGACAGATATTTGATGTATGGTGGTCATTATAAACAAGAATTTGATGTATGGATGTCATTATGGATAGGACTTTTATGTGTAGTGGCCATTATTGACAGGTATTTGATGTATGGTGGTCATTATGGATAGATATTTGATGTTGGCCGTTATAGACAGATATTTGATGTATGGTGGTCATTATAGACAAGTATTTGATGTATGTTGGCTGTTATAAAGATATTTGATGTATGGTGGTCATTATAAACAAGAATTTGATGTATGGATGTCATTATGGATAGGTATTTGATGTATGGTGGTCATTATGGATAGATATTTGATGTAGGCAGTTATAGACAGATATTTGATGTATGGTGGCCTTTATGGACAGGTATTTGATGTAAAGTGGCCATTATAGACAGGTGTTTGATGTATGGTGGTCATTATAGACAAGTATTTGATGTATGTTGGCTGTTATAGACAGATATTTGTTGTATGGTGGCCTTTATGGACAGGTATATGATGAATGGTGACCACTACTAAATAAAGACAGGTTTTTGACGTATGTTGGCCGTTATAGACAGATATTTGATATATGGTGAACATTATAGGCAGGTATTTGATGAATGGTGACAATTTTAGACAGGTATTTATGTATGGTGGTCATTATGGATAGGTATTTGATGTATGATGGCAATTATAGACAAGTAGTTCATCAATGATGACTGTTATAGACAGGTATTTGATGTATGGTGGTCATTATGGATGGGTATTTGATGTATGGTGAGCACTACTAAATAAAGACAGGTATTTGATGTATGTTGGCTGTTATAGACAGATATTTGATGTATGGTGACCATTATAGGCAGGTATTTGATGTATGGTGGACTTTATAGACAAGTATTTGATGTACTATGAACATTATAGGCAGGTATTTGATGAATGGTGGCAATTATAGACAGATATTTGATGTATGGTGGTCATTATAGGCAAGGATTTGATGTATGGTGGTCATCATGGATAGGTATTTGATGTATGATGGCCATTATAGACAAGTATTTGATGTTTGATGACCATTACTAAATAAAGACAGGTATTTGACGTATTTTGGTCGTTATAGACAGATATTTGATGTATGGTGGCCATTATGGACAGGTATTTGATATATGGATGCCATTATGGACAGGTATTTGATGTATACATTATAGACAGGTGCGTGTTCATTTTTGATGTATATATGTAATGTATAGGTTGTCATCATGCACGGTTATGTAAAGGGATGACAGGTATGTGATGCACTGTATGATAAATGTTCTATTTTCTTCTTCTAAAAAGGAAAGAACAAAATAGTCTACACATTCATGAAATATTCATGATATGAAATTATTTTAAAATATCCGTGCCCTGTTTTTAATGTTAGCAACACCTTACAACAATGCGTGTAAAACGTCATCAAAGATTGCGTATTTTGACTCTGCTGAGGTAAATAAGGGTGGAAGCCTTCGGGTAGGGGAGTTCTGCCTGCACAGACATCAGATTTAGATGTTGTAGTGACTTGAGCCCAATACCCGAAAGTGGACAAGTGTTGTCTCGACCAGGTTGGTACCAAGCTTCAGCAGGTAGATTTACAAAAAAATACACACAGCAAGTTAAGCCTTAAGTAGGCATACAGTACAGTGATTAGCCGAGCGGAACGGCCGGGTCAGTGGTTTTGATCGTATTATAACAATCCGATTATAGCTATCAGTCCGTGGTATTACCGAACACACAAGTATTTTGTGATTAAGGCTATGGAGTTTTCTGATAAATCTTAAAGGGACATCACGTGAAAAGGCGTTTTTTTTTTAATGAATGTATGTATTGTATGCACTTCCNTTGACCGAAGTTTTTAAACGTCTGGTGTTGGGCTCAGAGGAAACTCGGGTACAACAGGGTTTACAGACACAATTTATGTTAGCGACATCAA